TCACGACGCGAAGTTGATAGTGCGTGTACATACACACATGATGCACGCAAAATGACGAGAAAAACGTGTCGTTATTTATGAACTATGCACGTTGCTAACGGATTCTTGGCTAGGAACAATTGACATAAATCAATTTTTGCAATGAAATCGCGCAAGGTTTTTTTTTAAAGTAACACTTGAAGGTATCCATATGACAGGTGGCATGTTAAGATTACGCGGGTGTTCGTTGCGGCCGCGTATAAATCACAGAAAACGGCATGAAAACCGCGCTCTGATAAGCGCGTAGACTCGTGGAGCACGCAGTATACTACGAGCTCGGATAATTAAAAAAGAAATGCATAGCCTTTCGCGATACATACGTTTATCACGCTCTTTCAATTAATTAAATCGATCAGTTTTACCGACACTGTTCGTGCTATCAAGAATTTAATCCAATTATTCTTTGCACTGCTTTTTTTCAGTGTTTACCGCGTTTTATTCCTTGCAATGATCTTTCATACGAAATTTCCTTTACTAATTGTCCTTTTATATTTTGATATTTTTATACTTTGATTTTGGTTTTGGGAAAAGTTCCTCTAACAAGCTAATTCAATGTGCTAACTGATCAATTTGATTTTTCTATAAATTATAAAATTAACGGAATTAATTAATTATAATCAATACATCGTGTTATATTATAATTAATAAATTATTAAGTCAGTCAATGAATGAAATAATTATCAATTTATCTAATATGATATGATAATATTGGTCAGATCGACATATGACGATACAATAGAACCTTCTATAACTATTAACAGAGAGTATTCAGTTAATAGAATTTTCATATAATGAAACAATTATTTCATTCAATACTGAACTACATGTATCCAAAGGAGATTAAGACAATTTTCAATTTATTTTAATATTGAAGAACGCTACACGTTTACTTTGATTTATCATATTCACTTAACATTCTTGACATTAGTAATTCTGATAAATACCTTTCAGAATTTAAAGTATCAAAGTCTTGTTTTAAATATCTAGATTGTTTCAGCATAAAAAAGCACGACCTCCTCACATTTTCGTTTGCTATTTCAATTTGAAAAAATATTATATCCAAAACATTTTCGTCACTCACGAACGAAACGTTGATTTATCACCAGATCAAATACACTGCTCTTTGATATACTTTGTCAAGTTCATTTTGCAATTATGAAGAACACGACAAACGCGTTGTTATTTCGAATAGCATTATGTTCGCATAATAGAACGTTCAAATAATAGTAGAGTATTTGGACGATATAAAAAGTCTTCCTGATAACCAGCGTGACATGAAAAATTAACACGCTCGTGTTAAATTCAAAATTCGGCGTCAAAAGGGTTAAAAACCATGTTTCACACACACACACACACACACACACACACACTGCTTTCCAGTAGACAGCAATTACTAATGCAAACAAACTTCCGCCAGAGTGAAACGACACACGTGCGATTTTATAATCGTGCAGCGTAGAAACATCTCGTTGGCTGTAGAAATGAGTAAAAAAAGAAAAAAAAAGAAAGAAAGAGAAAGAAAAAAGAAGAAAGAATGGAGAAAAACGGAGGAATACAGCGCGGCGCGAATCGAGGCCCGCTTTTTCCATTAAAGCGATCCTCCTGGACAGAATTGCCGTCATTCATCGTTCGGGCCGGCGGTGCTGATGCCATCAGCGTAAATTACACGGCGCATTTTACGTCACAAATGGCGGCGTTGCGTGGCATTTGCTGGTCGTGGACTCATTAAATGAGCCTTTCGCTCGTAATGCCTCTCGACGCGCGTTGCTCCGCTCGACGACGAACGCGCGCGACTTTTTCCCGCGGCGCGTCCCACCGGCCGCAATAAACCCACCCGGGTTTGTTGCTTGCGTGTTGTCGTCCTCTTTTCGCGTCGCGAGATTCACAAGGATTGCCGCAGCGGAATGAAATCGAAGGGATGGATGCAGGGTAAACTCCGTTGATAGTCGTTCAGCGAAGTTTACGAGGATCCTGCATTGAAATCAGATGGCAAAAGAGCACAAGTTCGACGTTTTGCAGAATATCTTTCTGGGTTCTCCCTTTCAGTCGACGCCACGGACGGTGTTAACATACCGTTTTTTTTTTTCTTTTTTTTTGGTAGAATACTTCGGGTAGAAACTTCGTTACTCGTAAGCGGGTTTTATAATTCCTGAGATAGGTGTGGTTGTTGGTTATAAAAGTTTCAAATACCAGAGCGCTTTTTTGATTTTTTGGGCAAATCATGTTTCAACGCCGTGAAAAAAATCGTCTGACGAAGAGGCCTCTGCTTTCACAAATCTGAATTCATTTTTTTCTAAGATGTTACGATTTTTTAAGCAGCGAAATGTTGGACCTTGAGTCTTCGTCGCGTAAGTAATATTCAAAATCTGGTAGAACGGCGATGAAAAGACCTTGCGTTTCGAGATATTATTGTAAAGAGAAAGCTTCGATCTTTAATCCATAGTAATCCCAACGATTTTTTAAATACTTAATAGATATTCTTTTTTATCTATCTTATAGTCACTTATGTCTGTCATCAACGTCCGTATTAAAATTGTCCGAAAAAATCCCGAGACACTCTCGTTTTTTTTTTTTTTTTTGCAGTTCGAAATAACTTTTTTTTTCCTTTTTTCGAAACTGAAAAGCTCAGCAGTGGAAAACTGGAAGGTTCTTGTAGTACGCTATGACTGGAATTCCGTGTTTCAGTATAAACCTCGTTTTATCGACTGTAACTCGCCATCCAATTTTCCGTAGTAGCCGGTCCAGCCGTGTTCATATGCGCATATTAAAGTTAATCCCATTCGTATCCAAAGGAAGTCGCCGGAAACCACACGAGAGAGGTGATATACTAAACCCGATCAATTATGGATAGAATCAGCTGGTCTTAGCCCCTTACCCTCCTCCACTGACTGTTTCCAGCTGCAGTGAATTATCGTTCGGTCGAGTCACTGATAAGTTGGATCCCTCCGACCAGATTATTTCGTTGTTCTTCCCCGCCCACGATCGATTTGTCTTCCATACGCTGATACATTCCCCGATTAATTTCCCCTCACGCGATCCTACCCAAAAAATGATCTTCGCCTGGTTTTAATTATTAACACTAGACCTAAAGTATAAAAATTCGAGTCGAAGAAATAGAAAATTAGAATACAAGGAATAGTAAAAGATTTATAATACGATAATGAACGACAAGAACTTTTATTTTCGTATATTCTACAAAAACCACACGAACTTCTAAAAAAAAAAAAAAAAAAAAATGTAACATTGTAAATCCGCAAAATTACTCTAAAAGAATTATAAATTTGTCATTTTGTTCGCTTTGGTAGTTCCAGTGTTAATCTCCTCGATCGATACGACTCGCGTCGAGTTTCAAACAGATTCATGCGTCTGCAGATAGGACGTTCATGGATTGTTTCAGGCACGAGAGTGGATAATTTGGGGACGGGTCGCAACACTTCACAGCGAGACCCTTTCGCCCCTCGCCAAGAAAGGCTTCCTTTCATCCGAGAGAGGGAGAGAAGAACCGATAAAAAAACGTGAGAAACGATCTCTAAAGAGACGTTCTCGCGACAAAGTATTGGGCACTCGAAAAGGGAAGCTCTTTATCGACAAATTCGAGCAAGGCTAACAACAGCGTTAGGGGAAGTCGCCGGTTGAAACGAAGTCCGCCGGAAGCTGGCGAGTGTGTTCTTTATTTTCCTATTTTTTTATTTTTTTTTTTTTTTATGGTCTCGGGCTAGGTCTAAGGCCCTCGTTCGACCCTCGTTTACATCCAACACGCTTTAATCTTGAATATTCCATCAGTTACTTCTAAACGTGGCCGTTAAAAAGGTTGGCGTGATCCGATGTTAATTATTCCAAGGGCCGGTGCACGACAGAAATAAAATACACACCGTCCTATTCTCGACACGCGTTCCAAGAGGAGGTGAATTACCCGTGATTCGATTAAAGAGACGCGATTTCTCTGACTGGTCGTGTAAACTCTTTCGATCTAAACCCACCCGGTCTACCATCCCTATATCGTGTACCACCCCGTGTCAGTGTCTCGTGCTTTTAATATTCAAATAAACCATCCCTGGCTTCGATCGCGACCGCTGAAACATTCGCCAAACACGACCTCGTCTTTTTACGGTCGCGTAGCGAGCGGTGCTTCGGGTGTTTATCTTCCTTCCAGGAGCAGGATTGGTGGATCCTGATGGTGTACGCGTCTTGGGATTTACGGGTGATTTATAAACAGATTGAGCCACGTGTACCGTGAAATTATGTTAAAAACAGGTATACACGTGAATTTCCATGGAAATATAGGTAGAAATATCGGAAAATTCGCAATAGAAGCGAATCTTCGTGCAATCTTCGATTTTTTTCAAGCAATTGAACGTGTTACGCATTGTTCAATATTGTTAAAAATTTTATCCAATGAACGATCATCCGTACGCAAATCATATCTCATTCGTATCTTTTGTTCTTTGAACATTGCGAAATTGGAGAATCTATCTCTTTCTTTTGGGTCTCAATTTTTTGTAACTAACACACTTATTATTGAAAATAATCAAACATTTTGACACGTGTTCGTATCACAAACCCAAAAGTATAAATGACACGAAGATAAATTAAAATTCATGCAGGTTTTCCGAATTCAAATGTAAGTTTTTTCAAAATTTAAGTGTCGATTATATATCGCAACATATTTCTGTGAGTGTAAGTCCAAATTTTAATCGAAGCAACAGACACACGTGTTTTCAAGTACAATAGGACGACGCATAATAACATTTTCTTCTTCTTTTTATACGTAAATTAAACCCTCTGTATGTTTTCAACTTTTACGAGCCAAAATCTAATATACATCGAACCTCGAATTTAAATATTAAAGATGCTTTTCTGCAAAAGTAGCAACTTTGATTTTATACTCCTTCCCTGTTTGATACATTTCCACGTCTATGTGGGTTTTCTCTTGAAAAGAGGAAGAAGAAAATTGTACTCACCGTCTGGTACCGCGTGACTGGTCATTAGGAAATTAACGCAAGCGGCTCCGGTACCGTGGCCGATCAACGTCACGTTCCTTGAATCACCACCAAAGTAACCGATATTTTCCTGGACCCAGTGTAACGCCGCGATCTGATCCATCAACCCGTAATTCGCCGGCGAGCGTAAGTGCGAATCCGTGTTGGCGTTTAGAAAGCCTGTAATCAAAACAAGCCTGGTTATGCTTGTTTCCCCGTATTTTGGGGCGTATGTACATACGTGGGCTGCTGCTAAACCACGATCAAATTATCGAGACCCCTGCCTAATCAGGGTTAATTCAAGTCGATAAATTTAACACACATTTCAGACCGATGGCAATGCCGTTTTGCGTCGTTTAATATCTGTCCTTGCAATCAGTAATCAAAGACCGACATCCGTGTCATTGGTTTTGAGATTAACGTTATTGTTCAATGTTTTTGGGCTTCAGTCAGAAAATGTCGTTTCATTGTGTTAGCGAAGTCAATTGTAAAATAAAGTCCTCGAATATTGGATGGAATTTTATTCGATGAACAATGGATGCCGTTAGGTTTGATAATTTTCAACGTAATTGTTTTCTGTGTTCAAGTATTGAATGCAATCTTGTACATTTCATGTATTTCTTTATTATTATCTTCCCTTACGTATTATATTATTTCTTTATACGTTCCTCATACAGTTAATTTTGCATTTTGAAATTTCTCATAAATTCATAAAAACCCGCTGTCTAATTACGACATTTTTTTTTAAATAAAAAGAAAATCACGTCGAAAATACCGGCCAGGTTCATCATTCTTTTCAAAATCTACTCTCAAGTACGTACATACGTCGACGGCAGGTCGTGATCAATCTATTCTCCCTATTGTAAGCGAAGATTTCCATTGATCACTAAATAATCGACGTTCGTCACCATCTGGCGCCAATTCTTCGAATTCCTTTTCACGACCGGCGAGAAAATGGGCGTTCTTCGCTAACAGCTTGCTGGAACGTCGCGAGAGGTAAAACGCGAAATCGGTTCGAATCGGCTGCTCCTGACCCAGACTGCGAACCGAATACAGGCCATCCGGTGTCTCTGCATGTAAACGAGTGTAAACGAATATAGGATCTCGTTTCCGGTTGAAAAGCCGGCCGAGTGGAAAGAGAGTAAGGAACGAGCGTCGCTCGTCTCTTCAAAGGAAACGAAGCCACTTGGCGCGAAAGACACTTTTGACCGAGCAGTCACGGTTCTTCCGGCCGGTTCTACACCCGTCGTTCGTAAATACTATTTCAATGGATCGCATCGATTGGTACCCGATATCTCGCGGCGCGATATGCAAAGTGGAACACGCCAGCGGGGGCCAGCGAATAAATCGTTCGATTATTTGATCGGCGAACACGCCGTTTCGGATTCATTGTCGTTTAATTGGAACCCGATGGCTCGGGAGGGAGTCTGGCAATGTGATTTTTCCGCGTTTCGCTTGTCCGAAAATATCATCGTGACTGCATATTAACGAACGTGTGGGCGATTCTTCGACGAGGCCGGAATATTTGATGATTGTTTCAACGGCTTTCGTTGAAATTTTAATTCTTCCGAAACCGAAACCGAGCCTGCGTCGCAACTGTTCCCTCTAAGCTTCCAGCCCCGAGTCCGTCATACGGCGACGGTCCCCCGGAATAAAGAACGAAGTTTCGAAAAGGGTGAGAAGAAACAGGTAACGATAACTCAACAGCCGTACAGTAAGTCAAACTTCCGAATGATAACTTCGAACATCTGTTGCAACACTTAGCGAAGCAATAAAGAGTTTAATGAGTTTCGCTGTTCAAGCTAAACTTCCCGAGCTCGGCCGCCCAGTTAAGAAGCTTTAACTTGGAAAGCTCGGACTTATTGGACTACAATGATTGAATCGGCAACGAAAAGATGCGCGCGCGCGCGAGAGAGAGAGAGAGAGAGAGAGAGAGAGAAAGTAAACGAGAAAAAAGGAGGAAGAGAAAATAAAGAACGACAATAAAAATAAGAAACGACTGCAAATTCGTTCGAACGGAAACGCGAATAAAACAGAAACAATAAAACAGAAAAAAGGAAGAAACAAAAAAAAATAAATAAATAAAGTTCGACCGTTGCCGATCCTTTCAAAAACTCGAGCAGACCCGACACGACGCGACACGGTTCGCGCCCTTAACTATTCCACCCTCTGGCAATTGCTCGTTTGCGCGACGATAAACGGGATGACTTCTCTCTTGGAAATTCCTTTCGAGCGGCTCCCGTTGTTCCCGGCACCCACATTTTTCCAGCGTCGACGAGCTAGCCGAATTATCGGTTTGGCACTGGTTCCGGCGAACAGGCGGTAACATGACGTTGACCTATATTCCAGGAGCACACGAACGAAGATTCCCTTACAGAGACTAATACGCGAACGAACGTGCGCGACGATGAAAAGTCTGCTCGTCATGGAAGAATTTAAGGGGAAGACGTTGTTTCTGACAAAGCGACAAAGTGACAAACGGTCCCACGCTTTTCTTGGATGTTTAGTTAAATTTCATTATACATCGATTTAATTCTGGCAACGCTCTTCGGGATCTAATAATTCCTCGATTCGAAAAATTGCTTTCCTATCGAATTATTTGGAAAATTCGTGGCATTGATATTTGAGCGAATTGACTTCGCAGAGCAGAACGTAGGAAAATTGAATAAAATAGCGTGCATTCTTCTCCGAAATTCCCTTTAAATTTAAACACAAATATTACAGGCATGGCTTTCATCTAACGACATACGAAATGCATAAAATGGCAGTAAATCTATCCTTTGAATAGTTTTGATTTATGAAATATGTCGCTTGAAAGAGTGTTAAATTTTCTTGAATTACTAATAACTTGACATCGTTAAAAGACTTCTTTCAAGAAAATTTAACAAAAACGCGAAACAATATGTATGATTTTTTATTTTCATTTTCGAAGCGAGCCTTTCTGTTCCATGCAATCAGAGTTTCTAAAGAAAATTTCACTCGTAAATCTTCATAACGAATTTTCATTCTCTTGTCTGTTCCCAAAAAAATCTGATTGTATAATGCAACAAAGACTTCCACATTTGTTTCATACTCTTTTTTCACATTCCCTGGAAGCCTAGAACATTAAAAAAAAAAAAAAAGAAAAGTCAGACACAAGCACGGACAATTCAGTTCACGAAAAATGCGAAAATACGCTTGCTCACAGAGGGTTAAAAACGAGAGCGAGATTAAAGCATAAAGTTCGAGGCTTGCAGCCAAATTAACCAGACTATTTTAATGAACTAACAACCCTGGCCGTTAATAGGTATAATTCACGCTTTGCAGTGTCGGGGGAGGAAAAAAAAAAAAAAAAAAATACGTGTAATAATCAACGGATTCGAAATGACATGATGCCGCGTATAATTGGCTTTGCAACAATGGCGGAAATTATTCCCGAGCTCTCCACCGACCTTGTAACAATATCAGGAAACACGTTCCGAACTCTCTCGGGTTTGCAAACAAAGTTGCGAATTATTTCCAGCCTTTTCAAACCTCCTAGCAACGCCCGCAGATTAATATCAAGTGTATTTCCAGTTCGTAACGATATTGCACAATCGCTTCATGTTTCTGTTTGACCTTGCAGCATTGTTGAAAATACTGTACAGCTAATTCCATCGACGCAACATCACGGCGCTCGTATACCTACGACTGATTTAGGTATAATAAAGGATTGCTCGGTTCGTTGGCGTAATTTGCCAAGTAACCCAGTTACAGCCGAAGTAGGGTGTGAGTTATTGGTTTCACTTCCGCGAGAAATATCACTGTTCTTGGAATCAGCACCGCCAGCGTTTCTTCGCCGGCTTAGAAGAACGGGTGGTATTATGAATCTTTTCTACAATTTCATTCGTAATTCAAATTACGTTTTCAAATTACGTAATTCAAATTTTTGCTCAGCCCTTTGAGTGGCTCGTGCTAGAGTATTGCAGTGTTGTAATTATAATCAATAACAAAGTAATATAATTAATTTGCTTATTACGAGTTCAAAGTGAGGTAACGTGTGGCGATGTATCATTCTATTTAATTCTAAACTTCTTGATTTTTGATAACATTAAGTTCACGAAAAGTGAAAATGTAGTTAAGTTGATATGATCGTATGTGTCAAGAAGTAGAAGCAAAAGAATAAGGATAATTAATTGAATTTAACATATGAAAATATATCATTTTAGAGACTTGGACGAAAGTGAGGATAATACTTATGACCTGTGAATAAAAATCATAAAAATAATTCTTTGATGATACTATAGATAAAAGTAAATCAACAAATTAAGTTCTATTCTTTACAAACACAAATGTTTTGCTGTTCGTCACGCTCAAGATGCGCATTCATTATGTGTATATAATTCACAAGTTAATAGACAATTAGACATTTAATAGACAAGTTAAACGTCTGAATCCAGAAATTTTTCATTATCTTCACAGAAATATGAACTGTATAAATATGAAAATAAAAATAAAACATATCATAAAGATCCGCAATCGAACAAATGTGAATGCACGATAGAGACAATTAGCCCGAGTAACACAAATATGAAAATCACGAGATGGCTAAACCAGCAGAAGACCATAATATCGCCCTTTCTTCTAAGCTTCTAACTGCTTGAAAGTAGTTCGTTGCTGGAAAAAATTCGGAGAGAATTCTGCGCAGATTCGATAATAAGGAAGCGTTTAGCCACGTATCGCTGCGTATATCAAGCTGGCGAATAATTCGAAAATACGCGACTGCTGCGTATAATATTAAGTGAAATTACCGAGAATAATACAGGAATTTACATTTAATTTCGAGAAACGGAAGTGGCGGGTGGACGTGGAGCAGAGGGAGAAAGGGATCGCGAGGAGAAGAGAGGGGAGAACGCGAGGTACGTGCAACGAATTTCTTTCGACCGGACTTGAATTCGCAGACAATTTTCTCGTTGCACGATCGCCGATAAATTAATTTCTCCGAGAACATGCCAATTAACCAGGCCAGTACAGCCCCACCAAGTGAATTCTTTTGTTCCACGTTCGTGCTCCTGGAAAATATAGCCTCGCTTATCGAATCGGTTTTTTTTTTTTTTGTATTTGATATCGGAAGAAGAGAATTTGCGAATTTGAGGACTAAATTATTAGATAGACAGGTTATTTTTTTTAAATTAAGATTAGACTACGTGTACTATGTTCGT